TTTACAGATTCAATGCAATCCCTATCAAAACACCAATAGAATTCTTCAATGAACTAGAACAAATAGTTCTAAAATTGATATGGAACCACAAAAAACCCTAAAGAGCCAAAGCAATCCTGAGAAGGAAGAACAAAACTGGGGGCATTATGCTCCTTGACTTCAAGTTCTTCTTCAAACCTATGGTAATCAAAACAATTGGTACTAGCATAAGAACAGACCCATATGTCAATGAAACAGAATAGAGAGGCCAGATATAAGGCCACCCATATATGGTCAATTAATAAATGATAAAGGAGCCATGAATATACCATGGGGAAAAGACAGCCTCTTCAACAACTGGTGTTGGCAAAACTGGACAGCTACATGTAAGAGAATTAAACAGGATTGCTGTCTAACTCCATACACAAAAGTAAACTCGAAATGGATCAAAGATCTGAATGTACATCATGGAACCATAAAACTTTTAGAAGAAAACACAGGCAAAAATTTATTGAATATAAGCATGAGCAATTTTTTCCTGGACACATCTCCTTGGGCAAGGGAAACAAAATAAAAAACGAACAAGTGGGACTACATCAAACTAGAAAGCTTCTGAACAGCAAAGGACACCGTAGGCAGAACAAAAAGTCATCCTACATATTCATAAACTATTTACCTGATAAGTGGTTAACATCCAAAATATATAAAGAACTCATAAGCCTCAGCACCCATAAAACAAATAACCCAATCAAAAATGGGTGGAGGACCTGAACAGACACTTTTCCAAAGAAAAAAATACAAATGGCCAACAGGCACAAGAAAAGATGTTTCACATCACTAATCACCACAGAAATGCAAATTAAAACTGCAATGAGATATCACCTCACACCAGTTAGGATGGCTACTACCCAAAAGACAAGGAACAACAAATGCTGGCAAGGATGCAGAGAAGTGGGAACCCTCCTACACTGTTGGTGGAACTGCAAATTGGTGCAGCCACTGTGGAAAACAGTATGGAGTTTTCTCAAAAAATTAAAAATAGAAATACCATTTGACTTGGTAATTCCACTTGTAGGAATTAACACAAAGAAAACAAAATCCCTGATTCAAAAAGATACATGTGCCTCTATGTTTTTGCTGCACTGTTTGCAATAGCCAAGATATGGAAGCAACCTAAGTGTCCATCACTAGATGAATGGACAAAGAAGAGGCGATACATATACACAATGGAATATTATTCAGCCATAAAAAGAAAAGAACTCCTGTCATTTGCAATAACATGGATGGATCTAGAGGGTATTATGTTCAGTGAAATAAGCCAGGTGAAGAAAGACAAATACCACATGATTTCACTTATTTGCAGAATATAAAAACAAAGCAAAACAGAAGGAATAAAACAGCAATAGACTTATAGACACTGAGAAGTGACTAGTGGTTACCAAGGGAGAAGAGTTGGGGCGGGTATGGGGTGGTGGGGGGGAGGGGGGTGATAAAAGTGACCAATAATTCACAATTACAATATAAGTTGATCATGGGGACTGTTGAACCACTGAGATATACATTTGAAACCAACATAAGGTTGTATATTGATACTTCAATAAAAATTAAAAAATATTTTTTAATGTGAACATAAATTTTCATATCCGTGGGATAAATGCCCAAGTACAATTGTTAGTCATATAGTACACGTTTACTTTTAGAAGAAACTGCCAAACTGTTTTCCAGATGGTCATACCGTTTTATATTCCCCCTGTCCTCATCCCTGCACTGTATGAATGATCCAGTTTGTACACATCCTCTGTTGCTTTTGGTTGCTGTCACTGTTTTTAAAATTTTAGCCATTCTGGGAAGTGTGTAGTGCCATATTACTGTGGTTTTAATTTGCATTTCCCTGATGGCTAATGATATTGTGCACCTTCTCACATGCTTACTTTCCATCTCTGTATCTTCTTTGGAGAAATACCTTCATGCTTTTTGTGCATTTTCTTATTTGATTTTTTTTTTTTTTTGCTGAGTTTTGAGAATTCTTTATGTATTCCAGATACTAGTCTTTTGTTGGATATGTGGTTTGCAAATAATTTCTCTGAATCTGTAGCTTCTCCTCTTGTCTATCTTCTTAACAAAAATCCATTTCCAAGAAGACTGATACGATAAATAAAATCTTGGCAGGCCCAATTAAGGAACTGAGAAAAGTGAAGTAGGAGGTTAAGTGACATGTTTATTGTTTTTATAGAAATTTGGCTGGATTCCCAAAGCTGAAAATGATCATTGATAATGCCTATGTGTTTAAACAGAAAGCTGGACACATCTAGGCAGAATTTACTAAGAGATGGTGAAGCAAGCAACCACCACTCTTCCTAGCCTTTTTAAGAGAAGAGTAGGGAGTTAAGGAGATTATTTCAAGGGAATTCTTAGATGTAGCAAGAGATTCAACTCTTTCTCACCATATGGAAGACTGGAATGCTTCTCTGCACCACATAGCCAGATGATGGAGTCCAAGGGGAACCCTGTAGAGCCTGGGGTTATCTACAAGGGGTTAAGATAGGCATGTCACTACCAGGCTGGATGGTAGTTAAGCTGCAGATACTGTGGGGACCACTGTAGACTTGCTATTTGAGAGGAGCAAGAAGAGTTTTAGGGGAAGCTGTAGATGTGTCCTTGGGAGTTTTGGGGGCAATCATGAAAGAACAGAGTCATCCTTGACAAAAGAAGTTTTGAAGGTGAAAACCTGGGTTGGAGCTGCCATTTACTAGTTGATCAGGATGAACTTGGTGGCCTGTCAAGGCAGGGATGTCAGAGAATCTGCGAGTCTGGTGGACTCCTCGGATGTCAGGTTTGAGCTATATAGGAAGGACCCTGCCCAAGAGGACTGCTAGGCAGAGTGAGACTGATAGAGACTGTGTACAGCTGCAATCTAGGGCAGAAACTGGGGGTGACCATCACACAGGGTAGCCAGAGAGTTTGCTGTCCTTGTGAGGGACTGATACAGTGCAGAGGATCTCAAGGGATCTTGGGGGCACCACCAACTCCACTAACGAGGCAGGTGATAGAGGGATGCACGCAGATAGAGCTCAGAGCCCCTGTAAATTTCAAGGCCCTTGTAAATTTCAAGAAGTTTCAAAAACCCCGTGAATTTCAAAAAGCTCCATTCCAACTCAGCCATTAAAAAGTACACTTAGACCTCAGCTCTGTTTGGTTATGCTCTATGCAATGAACCGTTGTACTTTCAGCCAATCAGGAATGAGTTGTGATGTCATTAGTTCAGTTCTCTATTAGGTCCGGAGGGTAGGGGTGGGACTCCCTCCTCTCAGGAGGCAATATAACCCCCAGACACCACAGCCCTGACGGCATACTTCCTTGGAGCCCCTCCTGAGCAGCAGGATCCATTTCCGTTTTCATTCTTCATTAAAAGAGCTTTGCTGGTTGCTCCCTACTCTTGTCTGCCGGCTTCATTCACTGTGGCCTCTGAGTCACGATTCTGGGAAAAACAGCAGCATTCCAGCAGGTAACACTAATGGCCAGTGTTGGATGTCTGCTGTGAAGAGCAGCGTGATCACCCCAACAACCCCAGATCATGGGCCTTTTTGCCTTGAATTTTCCTCTTCTTTGCCCCAACTCTTGAAGATCAGTGAGGAAAAGAGGAAAGAAAATAAAAAGGAAGAACAGAACTGTCCATAGAATCTCCAGAAGCAGACCCTGACTTGAGGGTCCATGTGAAAGTGCTTCATTAGAAAATGTTTCTAGGAAATATAGGTAGGAGGGTGAGAAAACAGGATGAAGAAGAGAAGTTCAAGCCAGGATGCAAGAGAGGTGGACAGTGAGATGAGGATTTTTGTGAAAGTGATTCATTAGTAACAGTTTTTAGGCAATATCCAGCAAAGTCCTGTGGTGGTGTAAAAATAACTCAGTCCCACAGGGAAGCAAGGAGACTACAAAGTCACATCTCAGAGCTTCCCCAGTCCGGAACAAGAGATCTGGATTATTTATACCCTTGCATCCAATAGTCATTGATTAAGGGCTGCCTGTGGTTGGTAAGAACATACATTCCAAGATACTTCCTGTGTGCCCAGATGACACGCGTTCTGGCAGCTTGAGGGCAGGCGAATGACAGAGACACAGGTGCCAGCTGTTAAGAATAAAATCACACTGGAAACCTTGTGCGTGAAAAGGATGAGGGGCTCTAAAAAGATATGAGCAGAGCCTTGACTGTTCGCTGCAGCTCAATCCGTTGCAGGTCCTAAATCAATGCTTCATAAAACTTGTTTGGTTGTGAGATTAAAGTTTTCCTTTAGTCTGGCCTGGGATTTTGAGACCTGAAATTAAGACTGATGTTATAGCTGAATTTATGGGAAGAAAACCCCCAAAAATCTATTTGATAGCAATGAAATGACTTATTAGTGTATGACGTCCATTATCAGGCTGGGGAAGTTTCCTTCTACTTTGTTTGTTCAGAGTTTTTTGGTTTTGTTTTGTTTTTTGCTTATTTTATTATGAATGGGCACTGAAGTTTGTCTCGTGCCTGTTTTGAATGAATTGATACCATTATATAGGGTTTTTTCTTAGGATGTTAACATGGTAGATTATATTGATTGATTTCTGAATGCTAAGCCAACCTTGCAGTCCTGGGACAAACCTCACTTGTATTATTCTTTTTATACGTCATTAGGTTCAAATTGCTGATTTGTTGTAGACTTTTATATCGAAGGACATGAGAGGCATTGATTGGTTTTCTTGTGTTTTCTCTGGTTTGGTAGCAGGGAAGAATGAGTTGGGAAGTGTTCCTTTCTATTCTATATTTTGCTGGAAGAGACTATGTAGAATTGTTTGGTAGAATTGCCTAAGTTAGCCATCTATGCCTGGAGATTTCTTTTTTTGGAAGGCTTTAAACTATGAATTCCATTTCTTTAGTAATTATAAAACTACTCCGTTTATTTTATTTTATCTTAGGTAAGTTTTGGTAGTTTGAGGTATTTGGAGAACTGTTCCATTTCTTTTAAATTGTTAAAATTGTATGCATAGTTATTCGTAATGTTCCTGTAAAATCTTAATCTATTCAGAGTTTGTAGTGATATTCTGTTTTTTATTCCTGATATTGGTGATTTATGTTTTTTCCCTTTTTATCTTTGTCTTGCTAGAGGTTTACCAATAGTGTTGATCTTTTCAAAGAGCTAACTTTTGGTTTCACTGATTTTCTGTCTTGTTTTTCTGTTTGCAATTTCATTGATTTCTGCTCTTATCTTTATTTCCTTTATTATGCCTGCTTTGGGTTCGTTTTATTCCTTTTCTAGTTTCTGAAGTTGGGAGCTCAGGTTGTTGATGTAAGACCTTTCTTCTTTTTAACACAGATATTTAATGTTATAAAGTTCTCTCCAAGCATTTTTTTAGCTGCATTCCACAAATTTTAATATGTTGTATTTTAATTGTAGTTTCGTTAAAAATAGTTCCTAATTTCTTTTGAGACTTTATCTTTGACCCATGGATTATTTAGAGATGTGCTGTTTAATGTTTTGGGTTTTGGAGATTTTAAAATTATCTTTTGTTTTAATTTCTAGTTTAAGTAATTCCATTATGGCCTGAGGACATATTATGATGTAGAATTTCAATTTGCGTAAATTTGTTCAAGTTTGTTTTATGATCCATAATATGGTATATCTTGGTGAATGTTCCATGTACACTTGAAAATAATGTATATTCTGTTGTTGGAAGGAGCAGTCAATAAATGCTAATTAGAGAAATTATATATAAACATAAGGTGATTTTGATCTGAATGCCAACAAACCTTTTTGGAAACAAAATAAAATAATCTTAATGTTCAGACAGAAGAATAAAAATCTAAGTATATGTAAAATTTGTGGTTAAGAAATTGTAAGAGGTAACTTACTCTTAATCTGCTGACATAAAATAAGTAGGATACTAGTACAAGAGGAGAAATTAAGTCAGTGGAACATACTAGAAGTCCACAAATGTGTACAAATATAATTAGGAACTTACTATGTGACAAAAAATCTTATTTCAATTCATTGGGAGAAAATATAAAACAGTATATTTTATAAATCAGTTATTCATTTGGAATAAAACAAAGCCAGATTGTTAGCTCATGTCCTATAGAGAAAAAATAAACTCCAGATGGATTAATTTTTTAAATATAAACAATAATCATTAAAAGACAAAGATGCCAAAAGACATCCTGTTCTTAATATTCCACTGTGACTTCCTGGGAAATAAGGTGAAATGAGGCACAATCCCACAATGTACTTTTTCAATGCCTGACAAAATGAATACAGTCACCACCATTACAAACAGCCAAGTGACCCTGGTAACATCCAAACTTGAGATGTTTTCAAACATCTGATATAAACTTTGAAAAGTGGAGATTTGAAAACAAAAGATATAAACCTTAGCTTTTTAAACATTTAATCATTTGTGTGTTGATTCCCTGGGATTTTTAAAGCAGGTAATCATATCATTTACCAATAATGACAGCTTTCTTTGTCTTTCAGTCCTCATATGTTGTGTTTATCTGTCTTGTCTTTCTGGGCTTTAATCTCACAAAGAATTGGTGGCAGTGAGTATCCTTTATCTTACACCACGCTTTAAAGAACTGCTTCTTTTGACTTTACTTTGGGGAAATTTCCTCACTTTTATCTTCCAGTTCTTCTAGTAAGTCATTCATTTTGGTTGTGATGTTTTTTACTTTCCTCAAGTGTATTTATGTGTAGATGCTTTGATAGTATAAAATAACTAAAAAAGAAATAACAGAAGAGCATTCTCTACAGCTGAATGACATTGTGACATAGATCTCAGATGGAAAAATACCCAGCATATTCTCTGCACAATGGATCATAAAAGGCCTATACTTACTCCCATCACTATCAGAGTATCATGTAGGGAAATAAGAGAGTAAAAGATTTCCAGAGAGGAAGTTTTGAAGGGAATCACTGAAAGAATAGAAACAAGATGCATCATTTCTAAGCTGCTAGAAGAAAGAAAATATGAGGAAAACAATAATAAATCAGTCAAAAGTCAGGAGAGGAAAAAAAACACAAGAAAATATAGTAGGTCAAAAAACACTATCAATAATTATAATAAATGTGAATATGTTTAATTCTACTAACAAATGACAGAACCCTTAGATTGGGTTAAAAAATCCAGTTATATGCTGTTTATAAGCTATGGCCTTCTATTTAAAACAAAACATCAACATGTTAAATAAATAAGGGGAAATATATTTTAGACAAATGCTGATAAAAATAGAGCAGGTGAAACATGCTGTGATGGAAGAGATTTTCAGATGAAAAGCATTAAAAGGAGTAGAAGTGGTTATCGTATATGATAAAAGGTAAAATGCACCTAAAATGAGTTGTGGATAACTGTGCACATAAAGTAGTAGATCCAAATCCATAGAGTGAGTTTTTGGGAATGTAAGGGGAAACTGACAAAGTTGCCATTCCCTGAAGAGGAACTCACTTCTGTATGGAAACAAAAGAACGCATGCGGGCATGTTTGGGAGAATCTGAAATCAGAAATAGAATTCTTTCTTTACAAAGGGAATCCACTTGAATCAAAGGTGAACTAGAAAACAAATCACTTGGACTTAAAATACTGATGCTATATTATAAATGCTATATTCTGAGAGCCTGTATATCTACAACTTAGGGAGCTAAGCAAACATATACATAATTATTTGTGAAAACTCAGGTCAGGGCAAATGTTGCCAAGTGAGATTAAATTCAACTCTACTTTGCATTTGTTCTACTGTAAATGACAAGAGTTCTTTTTCACGTTTTTAGCTGTTTGAGGGCAAGAGATAAGGACTCTCTTGTCAAATAATCTTCCTCAGGAGCCCATGTTTTCCTATATGAAATGATATCTCTGTTTGTATGGACATTAAGCTTTGTGAGCAATATTTAGATAATGTAGGAAGTCATAGTGCATTGCTAATGCAGGAAATAATAATGTTCTCAAAGTGTACTTATTGTTAATCCCTGTATATGTAACTGAATTGAAAATGAATTCTCTTTTTAAAAACTTTTCCTTTAAGAACTTGAAATTCAATCCCTTGTTTTGCATACTCGTAGGAATTAGTACAATGTCTAATGAAAGTCTTCTGTTTTGAAATAGCTCTTATGTATTTCTGTCTTCCAGGTGCAGTTGCCCACAATAAGCCTTAATTAAATAAAAGAGCTTCTGACAGTTTCTAAGCCTAAAATATAATGCAAAGCTTTGTTTTTTGCAAACCAGTGATCAGTTAAGTTGTAATCGAAATAAGATAGAAGAACATCATATTGGCAAGAATTTATAGGTTTGTTGGTGAAGGTGTGGATAATGAATATGCTTATGGATAAAGTCCTTTCAGAGCAATTTGGTAGTATCTGACCACTTTTTAATTTTAAGATTGATGTTTCTACTCAGCAACTCTACTTCTAGATATCTAACCAAGAGAAATATTTGCTTCTTAGCACAAACAGGCATATATAAGCTTGTTTACTTCACATTTTTTATAAAAGCAAAAGATGCAACATCTCACAAATGCATCTCTAAGGGGATCATTAAATAAGGCCTGGCACATCTATGCTCTGGAACACCAGACAGCCTTTATTTATTTGTTTGTTTGTTTGTTTGTTTATATTAAGGTATCATTGATACACCCTCTTATGAAGGTTTCACATGAAAAACATTGTGGTTACTACATTCATCCATATTATCAAGACCCCCATGCCCCTTGAAATCACTGTTCATCAGTGTAGTAAGATACACCAGGCAGCCTTTAAATAGAAGGAGGTGGGCAGCAACACAGGAAAATCCTTGCAACGTGTTTTTAGGCAGAGGCATGTTACAGAAAAAACTTTGTGTAAAAAACCCTAACCCGCTATGTATGTGTGTGTATACTTACAAATATATAAATATGCACAGAAATATGTCTCAAAAGCCTCTGCTTGGGGGCTGGAAATGAGGTAAATTTCTTATTTTACTACCTTTCCCTAATCTCTCATGACAGCTATTTGGTGGGTACAGAACTTAAATCAGTGCCCAATACGGTGCCATTTTCCCCATACCATGTGTACAACCAAGGGACGGAGGAGGATGGTCTGTGCCTCACCAACACCTAATCCACATAAGGGGGTTCTGTTCTTCACCTGTACAATCTGGGATCATTAGAATTTGGAAGTTCTAGTCCCCAAGAAAAGAACCCATCACCAGGGAAGGCAGCCTTGGTGCTGTTCAGATTTGAAGATGAGACTGACTGCTGGCTGATATGGGCTCCTCAGAACACTAGTAGGTAGGGGATGGGATGATTCGGATTCGAAATGGAAATGGGCCTGCTGCTTTGCAGTGGGAGGAAGGGGGACTGAGCCTGTGGTTTTCAGATCCTCTGGTGTGCCACAAAGCCTTCCTGCGTCCAACAGCATAATAGTCAGTGGTGAATCATGGTGACCCAGCAAAGACAGGACTGCTAAGGACTTGCTGTGGAGATGGAGATTCAGGTCACGCCAGCAGGTAAAAAAATCCTGACCAGCTGAGGCGCTGGGAGAGGGTAAGAGATGGGGGAAAAGCTGATGGAAGAGCAAAGCTATGATTGTTCAGCCTGAAATAAGTCTCAGAGACAAAAGCATTTAGGAGAGAAAAGGTTACTTGCAATAAGGTAGCAAGAGAATCAGACATTGGGAGGCCAGGCTTACCAAACAAAACCGCAGCAGTATTCAAAGGAAAGCTCTGCAAGATTCCCGGAGTTAATACGTTTTTATCAGTCTGCTCTTGATGGTAAAATGGCACGTCTTTCACATGATTATCAAGTTCACAGAAAGTCATGACACATCTTTAGGCATCAGCTTTGCAAAAGTCAGGGATAAATTTGTTTTTCCTAGGGAGTCAGCAATTTATGGGAAATGCTCAAAGTTTAATTTATTTCTGGGACTGGAAGGAGAACTATTTTTTTTTTTTTTTGTGAAACTCACATGCAATTTATCAGCAAAATCCTGTTAACTCTACCTTCGCAACATACCGAGAATCAGAATACATCTCGCCACCTCCATGTACGTGCCACCATCATCTCTCCCCTACATATCACTATTGCTCCTTATCTGGACTTTGGTTTCCAACCTTGTCCCTTTACACGAAATTCACAACAGTCACCTTACAGAGCATGTAAGTCAGGCCATTCACTCCTCTGCTCCGATCCCTCCAAATTCTAACTTGGAGTAAAACAAATCCTAACAATAGCTTACAAGGTCCCAAGGAGCTGATGCTCCACATTTTCTTTCTGTGACTCAGCTACTTCTCTCTAGCTCACTTCTCCATAAACTCTCTTGCAAATGGTTGATCCTTGTAGATACCAGACATTCTGCCACCCCAAGGCCTTTGCAGTCACTGCGCTCTGTCTGGAGCTCTCTTCCCCCTGGAGCTCCTCATGATTTGTTCCCTTACCTCCTTCAGGCTTTTGCTCAGATACCACCTTCCCAGTAAGGCCTTTCTTGACACCCTATTCTTGATGGCATATTAAAAATGGTCCCTATCTCCCTTCCCTGGTATATTTTCCTCCATAACCCTATCACCATATGACTTTCTATATTTTACTCATCTAGTTTATCTATCACTCACCAGAATTGAAGTTCTGTGAGCTTTTTTTGTCAGTCTGATTACTGACAAAGGATGCCTCTTTTGAAGGAGGGTGCCTGGCATATTGTACACACTCAGTAGGTACTTGCTGAGAGGTTGAATGAATGCAAGTATGAGTAACTAGAGAAACATACCATGTTCTTTGTGGGAAAGATTCAGCAATATGAAAATGTTGATTGTGCCCAAATTGATATGTGAATAGAATACAAGACTGTGGTAAACTCAGAGATGAGCCACCCAGACCATTTCCCCACAGCTTCCAGCAAGGACTTGGTATCCAGTTATAGGGAGTGTGACCTGTGCAAACAGCCACCTTCACTCAGGTCTCACCCTTGTTGGAGTGGCTGGCATCTGGTGACTGATGTGGGGTCATAAGGCCCCGGTTCAGCCCAGTGCTGGACAGCTCCAACACGCATGCTGTTTGAACTCCCAGAGACTCCTCTTGGGTTGGTTGAAACTTTGTGAGGTCATCACAGTTGCTTAACTTCTTCTGCCCACTCCTGCTCCATCCCCTTCCTTTCACAGGTATTGATACTAGCAAACAGCTTGCACCCCAAATTCAGTCTCAGCATTGGCTTCCAAAGACCCAACCTGTGACATACTAATCTGAGTACCAATTAACAAAGAAAACCAAAACAAGACAACAAAGCAAAACGAGAAATAACCTAAATGTCTATCAATTTGGAGATTGATAAACAAATCATGGTACATATTACGAAATAAGATGAAGATGAGAAATAAATAAAGTACATTTTTAGAACTGATGTGGAGAATAGTACTGGTACACTGTTAACTGAATAAAAGAGAAGCAAGTGACAGAGCAGGATCCCATTTATGCACAAAATATTATCTAAATCGCATTTGTTTCCCTTCTCTGAGACCTTTTAAGATTCTGAAGTTCCTTCCTATTGAAAAGATTGTGTGTATGATCTCAGGACAGCTCCCTTAAAGGGTTTACAGAGTTTAGAGGATCAGATTAAGTCCCTTTCATGAGGACGGCGTGTGTGCAGAGGGCTCAGGCCAGGGTGCCAGGCAGCCCTAGGCTTGATCCTGGCTTTCAATTACCAGGCGTGTGGTCCTGGGCAGGTCACGCAATAGCTTTGAGTCCTAGCCCATCATCCAAAATGCCTCCCAAGTTTCTTTGGGAATTGAATGGTTAATATAAGGCAAGTGTCTGGTATAACCCCCTTTATAGATTTGATGTTCAATAAATGTCCTTCCTTTCCCCAGATCCTCCTCTACCATTCCGGCCAGGAAATCCTATTGTCACCCTCTTCCTTTATTCTGAGTGGAGTGAGGAGAGCTAGGCCAGAGCTGGTGGAGCTTGATGGCTGAGGCCCCAGCTTCCACTCCAGAGGAAGCTCAGAAGCCAGGGACTTGGGTCGGAATTGAGCAAGAGCAGAGAAATGGGCTCCCCTGGACCCAGCAGTGCAATGATGGAGACACGATTCTGGGAAATTCAGAGGCAGGAAGTAGAGTGGGTGTGTGGCAGAGGAGAAAAAACAGATCGCACCTCTGGTCTCTTCTGGTCCTGGTTCCCCCTCCCTGCAAGAATGAGGAAGTCAGGGAAGCTCAAAAGAAGCAGAAAGAGAATAGACACACCCTGGAGGAGAGCACAGCTGGGTCCATATCCCACTCCTCCACACACGCAGCGTCTGCCTGGGTTCCTGCCTGGATTCCTTCTTGTTATTATTTATTGCCCAACGTCAAGGAAACAGAAGATCCCAGATCCCAGGCTGCTTGGCTTTCAGACACAAAGACCAGCAGGACGCTGGTCACTTTCGTGACTCTTCCCTCGGTCACCCAACCCTCCAGGATTTCGTTTTTTCCAAATCTGGTCTTTGCTGCACAGCGAACCCCAGAACCACAGCCTCCAGACCCCCACAGGTGACTGGGCTGGGAATGCAGGGCTGCTAAGGGGGCGGGCGGGCACTACAAAAAGCCAGGACAGGGGACTGTGGGACTTGGGCAGACTGGATGGGAAGAACTATAAGGGGGCAGCTTGGGGACTTAGTGGCCAAGTGGGAATTTTAGACTCCATTCCCTTCACTGGATTCAGCTGGAAGTATGGCAGCCAGACTTCAGACACAAACTGCAACCCACCTCCAGCCCCCTGTCCCAGCTGCACCCCTGACCCAGCTCCTCCTCTAGCCCAACCACAGCTTCATCCCCAAGGTCCACTTGATGCTTAACACCAGTCCCAACCCAGAGTTGACCCAGAACTCTATTCTGTTTCCAGTTTCAACCCATCCATGGCTCCAGCATGAGTGCTGACCTAGCAGGACAGGCCATCTCAGTCCCAGCCCGTTAGGCGCAGTCCTGGCCATGCATTTACATCCACTTTACCACCACCTTCAGCCCCAGGCTCAACCCAACCGCAGCTCAAAGCCCAATCCTGACCTCACTCCAACCTCAGCCCGCTCCCACACCTGCCCCAACCCTGGGCTCTTGCTCAACTGGAATCTCATCTCTTACTTCAACCCTGGCCCCGACCTCCACTCCAACCTGGTCCCAGCCTCCCCCGCTGCCCTACCCCCTGCCCAGCCTAGCCACTGGCCCAGTCTCCATTTCAGCTCCAGCGCTGGTCCAAGCATGTCAATGAAGTATGAAAAATTCCAGCACTCAGAGAGTGAGAAGAAAATCCAGGAGGAGCTTATCACTGGTAAGAGGAGAGGAGTAACGGCCTCTGCCAAAATACCCTCTTAACATGTGCAGAAGGATTTCCGCGGTCATGTCATGTTTTGCCCCTCTACCATGTGCCCTGGTGGGGGTGGCCTCCCTCTGAGGGGGTCAGGCTCCAGCTTCTGGGGGTACCAAGTATGAACAGGGTTCAAGGTCCTCAGAAAGACTGGGACAGGGAGGACCACAGCGAGCCTGGATTCCTGTACTCTGGGGCAGGGCGTGAGAGTTTGCATTGAGAGAATGAGTAGGTGGGTCTGGAAGGGAAACTCATTTGCTAACCTGATAGGCTAGGTTATGAGTGTGAGCCTGCTAAGGGCCTGGCTGCCTCAGCAATCTCTGGGTGCTCCTGCCACCTCTCCCAGTTCTGACGATAGGACCTTACATATTGCCATTGTCCCCTGTCTGTATGCCCTTGTGTATATGTATCCTCAGGGGTGTGAGGGGCCTGTGTGACTGGGAGCTTATGCAGGTCGATGAGGAGTCAGAGGCCCGGGCATCTCCTGGCCCACAGTCGTCCTTGTCCAGCCCCGCCCAGCATTCCTTGCTCCAATTCCGACCGTGACAGGGTCCTGTGGCATTCTCTTCCTCCCCTGTCTCTTTCATGCCCTGACACCCCCCTCCTCTTGCAGGGCTGCCTCTGTCCCAGTCCTTCCTGCAGCGGCTCTGCTCTGGCCCTCGTCCCCTCCTGCTCTCCCTGAGCCTCAGCTTCTTCCTGCTGGTTGGCATCTGTGTGATCGGATCCCAAAGTGAGGGTCACTGGGCAGGCAGGGGCGGGGGCAGTGGTGGGGTGTGGTGGAGGGGCACTGAAGGAGACGGGATGGATGTGCAGCTGCTGGCTCCGTCACTTATCAGCTGGGTAAGGTAGTCAAATGACCGGACCTCGCTAAGCCTTTGTTGCCTCATTGCTGGCTGGCAGAGCACCCGCCCCCTTGGCTCTGGCTGCTGAGAGGACCCAATGGGACAGTGCATGTCAAGGGCCCTGCTCGGTGCTGGCACAGCCTCAGCTCTATTTGTTCCATCCGCCTGACCAGATTTCAAGTCTCAGAGGGACTTGGTGATGGTAAGAACAACTTTCAGAAACTTCGCTTCAAACATTACAGCTGAGATGGAGACACTGAATTCCCAGGGTGAGCCTGGCACGGGAGGGTCCTGGGATGGGGTGAGGTGTGCGGGGGAGGGGTGGGAGCTGAGCCCCAGGTACCCATGTCCTCCAGGTGGCAGTTTGCAAAATAAGGTAACATCTCTGAAAGCTGAGGTGGAAAATAACAAGCAGGAGCTGCAGGCAGGTGAGAGGCCCTCCTGGAGTGCGGGCAGAGGGTGGGGAGGCTCCTGGTGGTGCTGAGTGCCCTCCCCTCCAGCCCAAAGCTTGAATGACAAGGTGGTTTCTATGGAGACCAAGCTGGAGAAACAGCAGCAGGAACTCAAAGCAGGTCAGTCGCTGCTGCCGTCTTCTGGGCTTAATGTGTGTGGGAGGGTAGGGAGGCTCCTTGCTGGGCCCCATGCAGGGACATCTGGACTGCAGGGACTCACTGAGTGGAAGCCACCCAGGGCACCGTTCCCACTGCCCATCTGTGTATGTCCCAGGTTATTCCATGTTGCTTCTGCGAGTCCAGCAGCTGATAAAAGGCATGAACTCCCTGACTTGCAAGATGAATGCTCTCAAGAACAATGGTGAGGGGTATGTGGGAGTGAGCCTGCTCCCTTTTCCTGCCCAAGACCCAGTGGGTAGCATTGAAGACCCTCTGCCACCCCTGGCCCCTTAGGCTCTCAAAATACCTGCTGTCCTACTAACTGGCTGGAGTACCAAGGCACTTGTTACTGGTTCTCTGACTCTGAGAAGAACTGGTTCGATGCTGAGAAGTACTGCCAGCTGGAGAATGCTTACCTGGTGGTCGTCAACTCCAGAGCGGAGCAGGTGAGGGCCTCTGGTGCTCACAGCCCAGGCCATGTCCCACTTCAGGAAACAGTTCTCAGCTGCGGCCGTGCACTGGGCATCACCCGCTCTCTGAGCACGGCCTCGGAGATTTATCAGCCTGGGCAGCAGGATGAACACCCTAAATCTCCTCAGCCAATTCAATGAGCATGTGAAGTTCAGAACAGTGGGTCCAAGGAGTTGGCTGGCGTGGGGAGAAGTCACTGTTGATCTTCTGTCTTTCCAGAATTTTATCCGGGACCATTTAGACTCCTCATTCGCCTGGATGGGCCTCAGTGATCCTGAAGGATTCTGGAAGTGGGCTGATGGGACAGACTATGAGTCCAGCTATAAGTGAGTGTGCGCTGGTTCCCCATACCCTCCTCCTCTAGCATTCCTTGAGATTCTGACCCACAGCCCCTTCTTCCTGGACCTGGCTTCCGTTCCACCTGAGCTTCCGGGCTTGCTGTTGTCTTCTCTCCTCAGGAACTGGGAGCCAAGCCAGCCAGACAACTGGGAAGGGCATGGGATGGGCGGGGGCGAGGACTGTGCCCACTTCCTCCCCAGTGGCAAGTGGAACGACAATGTCTGCCAGAAGCCTTTCCGCTGGATCTGTGAGGCCGACCTCAGCTAGGAGCACTGCAGGCCACTCAGCCTCGGAAAAGCCGGGGATGGGGCACCCTTCCCCAGAGACCCCGAACGAAACCTCTGTGGGAGAGAAATGAGCCCTGCTTGGTTAGGATGCTGCCATTGTTTTGAATTTTTTTCTCCTTAACTTTCAAAAGACTGTGTTATTGTACAGAGTTCCTAGAGTGTTTTTTTTAAATTTCAGCTTTATTGAGGTATAACAGACAAATAAAATTATAACATATTTAAAGTGTACATTGTTCTGATTTGAGATACATATACAGTTCTGAAACATATTTAGTTAAACACATCCATAACCTCACGTTTTATTTTTATTTTTTTCCTTTGGTGAGAGGTTGTGCTCTCTTAGTAAATTTCAATGATACAATACAGTGTTATCAGCTTTAGTCTCCATGTTTTACGGTAGATCTTCAGATCTTATTCATCTTATAGCTGAAAGTTTGTACCCCTTTACCAACCTCTCCCTATTTTCCCCAGCTCCTGGCAACACTTTTCTCTTCCTGTTTCTATGAATTTGACATTTTAAAAAAGATTCCACATATAAGTCATACCAGGCAGTATTTGACTTTCACTGTCTGTTTTTTCTCACTTAATAGAATGCCCTCAAGTTACATCCACACTGTGGCAAATGACAGGATTTCCTTCTTTCTCATAACTGAATACTAATCCATTGTACATGCATACTGCTTGTTCTTCATTCATCCATTGATTTATCCTTAGATTGTTTCCATATGTTGACTATTGTGAATAATGTTGCAGTGGACATGGAGTGCAGATAATTCTTCTATAGCCTGTTGTCATTTCCTTTGGATATACACCCAGAAGTGGAATTATTGGATTGTATGGTAGTTTAGTTCTATTTTTAAGTTTTTGAGGAATCTTCATACTGTTTCCCATAGTGGCTGCACCAATTTACTTTCCTACTAACAGTGCAGGAGGGTTCCCTTTCTCCATACCTTTGCCAACCTAAGTTTTAACCTTAAAAATAAACTCTATTGAGTTATAATTCTTACCTAATAAAATGCACCCATTTAAAGAGTAGAGATGACTTTTGACAAATATAAATACCCAGATAACTACCACCTCAATCAAGGTATAGAGCATTTGTGTCACCCTCACAAGCTCCCTGTGGGGAAGTTGGGTTTCCTATGGCCAGGATCAGGATCCTCACTGAACTTAAACTACCTGATGATGTAACTGGCCTGTTGCTAGGCTACCACTTCCATACTTTTAGGCAATAAGCTATTATTCCTCTATATGGAGAGCTTGGCCCAGTGCTCTGGGTGGAGGCAGAGATGCTAGTGCTCGACCTACTGTTGGAGAACAAGGCAGGTAATAAACCCTTTCACCCCAAAGAACATTTTGCTATCAATCTCTTTGGTCACATTGAATCCATAGAGAACTTGCCCGGGGCTGAAACCCATTGGCAAAACAATTGGCGAAGTTGGCAGGGTTCATTGTTGACCAAGGAAGAAGATAGGCTGCCCTTATGGGAGGGGTGCTTCAGCGGGCTGCCCCTGTGAATGGGGAGACAGTGGATTGCCCCCATTGGGTATGTGGTCTGAGGTGGCTTGCCTCCTAGAGGACTGGGCCCCACCCCAGGACTGGAGGCAAGTGGGGGTGACACCTGAGGCTGTAGGGGTGGCCCTTGGTATAGTAAGTAGGTCTGTTGAGGAACAGAGTGCCCATGAGGCAGCGGGGACTGTGGATTGGCTGCTTCTCACCATATTAAAAAAACTACAGAAGAGAAGGACATGCTTCTGAAAAATACCCAAGAAATGGAGGCATGAGAACGTGAGCAGCAAACTTCTGTGGATTCCCTGAAGAAGGAAATGGCACTGATGCAAGAGGAGGCAGCATGAGAACGCCGGCAGTGAGGTGCCACTGAAGAGGTAAAAGGTTCCTTACCGACCGAGACAGCAGCACTGCCAGGTGCTCTGAAGGAGGAAAAGGCCATCGAGGAAAAAGACAAACTCCTGAGGGAAGCACAGGCAGAGATGGCACGAGAATGCCAGCTGAGAAGCATTGAGGTGAAGGAGGAGAGCTGCTGAAGACTGAGCTGGCACTGCTGCGAGGCGCAGTAGGAAAGGTAAATGCTGTAGCAGAGGAGGTGCTAGGGAGAGGGGAGAGAAATGGAGGAGCTGGGGAAGGATGAAGGGGCGGTGCCGGAGGCACTGAGCCCTCCTGTATTGAAAGCACGCCCAGTGGTTGTAAAGAAAATAAAAGACCCAGCAGCTGAAAGTTCCCCAAGGAGAGGAGCAGCCCCCTCACCAGGTCGAGGAGCCCTCTGTGGTCCACCCCTATACTCAGCCTGAGCTGGTGGATTTGGGCTCCCGGTTTAGGCAAAAGCCCTCGGAGTCAATATCAGCTTGGCTCCTGCGTCTGTGGGACTTAGGGGTGGGTGGAATTGGTCTGTCAGAATCAGAGATGGGAAAGCTGGCTTCCTTGATAGTGTAGCCTGCCTTGAGGCAGTGATTATAAAATGCACACCAGACCCCAGGTAGTCACTCCCTTCTCAATTGGCTGATGGCTGCACTTTGTGCTGTGTGGCCCAGTCAGGGTGATCTACCATCCTCTCCTGTTAGATGGCAGGCGTGTGCTGATCTCCAACAGGTGCTACAAGAGCTAGGCATAAGAAATGCCATCTATAGTCCAGAGAATTATGGCCCAGATGAAGAGATTTTCACTACTGGGATGAGAAATATTGTGCTTCAAATGGCTCCCACATCCCTCTTTGGGTCTCTAGTGGCCATTCTTTCCCCTCACTTAGGGCAGCCCATAAGTGAGGTGACACATACAATAGCAGACATAGGAGAAGCTGAAGCAATGAGAACCCAGAAAGAAATAAGGTCGGCTACTCACAAGAAGAATTTAAAGGGCCCCATGAAGGTTACAAGGACCCAGATGTGGGTTGATTTAATATGGGCAGGAGCAGATGGAAGGAAATTAGATGGGAAGCCAAATAGGATCTTACTAGAGCTATGACAACAACTGAAACCAGAGCAGCAGTTCCAGCCATTAAGACCAAAGAGGCAGAGGTCAGAGACAGAGCCACAAGTCCGGCCTGTGTGTTTGCAAGACTTCCTGTTGGAGAGTAAGCCAACCTCACTCAAGCCCACACAGGAGGATAATCGGGGGACACGGTTTGACTGAGGGGAAGGTCGAGGTATCTTCCCTGAGGGACCAGGGGGTAACCAGAGGCCACATGTTGAAATAGTTATCCATTGGTCCCCAGTGAGCATACAAGAGGTTCTGGCTCTGGTGGACACAAGGGCTGAATGTTCACTGATTCATGGTAACCCTGAGCAGTTCCCTGGGATGGGATATGGGGGGAAGGTTATTGTCTGTCAAATTCTTAGGGGCCATCTGGTCAAGTAAGAAGAAAGTTATACCAGAAGCAGTTAAACCAAATCCCTTTGGGAATAGGGCATCTATCCCCAAAAGAGTATACTGTGTATATATCTCTTACCCCTGAATATATTTTGGGGATTGATATCCTGCAGGGTCTGTGGTTGCAGACCACTGTAGGTCAGTTCAGACTGAGAGTACATGTGGTGAAGGCAGTTCTGAGGGGACATGCTAGGCACCCACCCATAGCTTTGCATGTGCCTCAGCAGGTGACTAATACCAAACAACACAAACTGCCTGGAGGGCATTAAGAGATTGGAGAAACTCTCCAGGAGCTGGAAAAGGTGGGTATTATAAAGCCCACCCATAGTCCTTCCAATTCCCCAGTGTGGCCAGTAAAAAAGCCAGATGGCTCCTGGCGTATGACTGTGGATTACAGAGAACTGAATAAAGTCATACCCCCTATGCATGCTGCTGTCCCCTCTATTGCAGGCCTGATGGATACCCTCAGCCATGAACTAGGAACATACCATTATGTGGTAGATCTTGGGAACACCTTATTTTCCATTGACATTGAGCAGGAAAGTCAGGAACAGTTTGCCTTCACATGGGAAGGATGGCAAAGGAGTTTCACCATCCTTCCACAGGGATACCTCCACAGCCCCACCATCTGTCATGGCCTTGTAGCCCAGGACTTGGCTACATGGAAGAAACCACCAATGGTGCGGCTGTATCATTATACTGATGTTGTCATGCTCACATCCAATTCTCTTTCAGATCTAGAAGGTGCAGCACCTAGACTGCTGCAACATTTACAGGAGAAAGGATGGGCTGTGAACAGTACCAAGGTTTGGGGACCTGGTTTGTCTGTCAAATTCTTGGGGGCCATCTGGTCAGGTAAGACCAAAGTTATACCAGAAGCAGTTATAGATGAAGTCCAGGCCTTTCCTACCCCTACAACTGTGGCATTGCTACAGGAGTTTTTGGGTCTTCTAGGCTACTGGAGAGTGTTTATCCCGCACTTGGCACAAATTCTGAAGCCCTTATACTGGTTGGTACGAAAGGGCGTCAGGTGGGACTGGGATAAGACATGTGCATCTGCCTTTATTACAGCAAAATGGGCAGTCTAGGCTGTGAAGGCCTTGAGTGTGATAGACCCATCAAGGCCCTCTGAACTGGATGTTCATGTGGCTGAAGACAGTTATGGCTGGGGTCTCTGGCAGCAGCTTAAACGAACTTGCCAACCTATTGGATTCAGGTCACAACTCTGGAAAGGGGCAGAGGTATGATACACTTTCATAGAAAAACAACTGGCTGCTGTGTATCATGCTTTGCTGGCTACAGAACCCATCACTGGAATGGCCCTGATAAAGGTAATAACCACCTATGCCATCTTGGGGTGGGTATGGGACTGGACCCAAAAGCCAAGGAGTAGTGTGGCACAAACACCCACACTGGCCAAGTGGGGTGCTTACCTACAGCAGCGTAGTGCTCTTTCTAGTAGCCCCTTGAGTGAAGAACTCCAACGCTTATTAAGGCCAGTGACATATACTAGTGAAAAGCAAGAAGAACTTGCCTTTGAATCATTAGCAGCAGAGAGTCCCTATCAGGAGGGAAGAGCCCTTATAACCGAAGATGCATGATACACAGATGGTTCCAGCCATGGGCAGGCCCCAAAACGGAGGGCCATAGCTTTCCATCCTAGGACTGAGACAATATGGATGGAAGATGGTGAGGGGAAAAGCAGCCAATGTGCAGAGTTGCAGGCCATGTGGCTTGTGATCAGCCAGGAGCCCTCCCTATAGTTGTCTGCACTGACAGCTGCGCTGTCTATCAGGGCTTGACCCTGTGGCTACTGACATGGTACCATGCCAA